GAAATCCGATTGAACCGTTGGGGTCAGACAGTCAAACTCTACATAATGATATAATTTTCATATTTATTTGTAATACTTTTTCTGACATCATATTTTTGGGTGGTTGACTTTGACAGAGTCAAAATTCATTTAATGGACCTTTGTTCAATAAAATTCATATATTTAATTCATGTTATTTATTTTCACGATTTATTTCAATAAATCATTTCAAAGTTCACATTATAAACAAATCCCTAATTTGGGTCTATACTCTGGTTCCCCAAATTAAGATCATACAGTAAGTCAACATATTGGATTTATCTCTATGAGATTTATCCAGATTGTGATATTGGATATCAATATATGTTTTATTTCGGCCCAAAGCCCAACAACAATTTATTTTAATCAAAACAAATTTGATTAATTGAATAATTATTCATTAATAATTCTAGGGTATATTTTAGAGCGTTATAGGATTATTGTGGCTATAGTTTATTTGATTATAATACGGCATGTGTGTCGTGACTTATCTTTTAAACTCTTGTTGTAAATCTATTTCTCTCTCTTACCTCAACCGAGGATTCTTTTCTCACGTGGTGGTTAGAAGATGAAAAGATTTGAAGACCGTTTGAATAAATCTAAAAGAATGGAGATAGCCCGAAGTCCAAATGCCCAGAAGCCATTGGGAGCTATTGTTTTATTTTTCGCTTAGGGCCACAATCATTACACGTTTATTTACTGCGTTTTGTGAATGCATGTTAAATGTATGTTAAACGCTAGTAATGGACATGTGCACGGTCATGTCGATAGGTGAGATCGAAATTATAAATCCCTCACGAATATTAAGTTTGTTGCCTTCTGACGCCCGACACCTATCTGGCTAATGTGCATTGTCATGTACTCTGCCTCAGCAGAGCATAGTACGGTGTATGTTAAGCTGGTTACGGGAACCGCCATAGCGTGGTCGCTGTCGCACATTGGGTTAGACTTAACTGAGTCTCAGTCAAATGGATGGATGACTCAGAGGTAGTAAGTTGGGGTCATCAATGACAAGTCGGATGATTTTACTCACTCATCCAGCCAGGAGTTGGATCTATATGATTTAATTGGAATTCTGTTCCTAACCAAAGTAGTCTACTTGTAAGACGTGCCTTAGCCAATTACAAGTATGGTGAAAAGGTGTCCTGGTCCGGTTGTAGTAATATTGTTCGCCCAACACTAGACCAAGAGCTGAGAGCCTGGCTCATCAGTTGGAACTATGTTCCTACCTAAATAGTTGTCTTGTAGAGTAACGCCCAAACGGAATGCAAGATAATGAAATATGGATCTTGGCCCACTAGAGGTTTCGGCAGAAATCTCCGAATCAATATCGAGGGTTATTGATTTGTTAAAAATAGTGGGAGATAATTAATTAAAGGCCTAATTAATTATTAAACATGATAGATAACCTAGTTTGCAAAATTTTCTGTAGATGGCAAACAACAACAACCCTTTCAACCTGCGTTACATCCTGGAAAACAACAAGTTATCCGGGACCAACTTTCTTGACTG